CGGCCAGGTGTGGGATATGATCTCCTGGTGTGCCTGTTTGCTTGAAGCGCAGTATTGGGGTGGGAGTTACCCGATTTTCCAGGTGTTGTGTGTCTCAGTTCCCCTGGCTAGGAAAAGGGATTCCCTTCCCCCTTGCGCTTCCCAGGTGAGGCAATGCCTTGCCCTGCTTCAGCTCTGGCTGTTCGGGCTGCAGCAGCTGACCAGCAGCGATCGTCCGGCACTCCCCAGTGAGATGAACCCAGTACCTCAGTTGAAAATGCAGAAATCACCAGTCTTCTGTGTTGCTGGCACTGGGAGTTGGAGACTGGAGCTGTTCCTATTCGGCCATCTTGCTCTGCCCACCTAGTTTCAGCCATAACTCTTATTGAAAGTATAGCTAGGGCCCCAGGGACTGCTATGGTCAAGTTGCAGACAAAAATGACCACTCATTGGAAGACAGAAGAGGAGTATTTAGGTACAAAAGCAGTCAACAATTCAGGTGTATCTACATTCAGTCAGCAAACAAAAGTTGCTCAACTTGGTTGCTAATGGGACCCACTCTGCTAACTGAGGCTTTGTATAGAACTCATAGAGGAAGATGGCTTCAAATAAGGGACCACCTTGTGCTTTTCTTAGGACTTAAAAGCTCAGGAAGCTGGTGATGTATGAAAACCTTAGTCCAACTGGCACTGCACAAGGGGCCAGGAGAGCAGCAGCATCAAAAGCCTCAGGGTGAGGCAGCCCAGGCAGGGGCATTCTGAGCTGTGGGGGAGGTGGGGCAGCCAGGGTGGGGCATTGTAAGCTGTCGGGGAGGGCATTGTGAAGTGTGGGTTGGGGCATTGTGAGCCACAAGCCTGGGCTCCCACCTGGGCCAATGGGCTTCTGTCTGTAGGTGACTGCAGAAGGAGGAGGAGCTCCATCTGTACTCTCTTCAGGCAGTTGTGTCTCTCAGCGCTTTTTGGGTTCACAACCTATTAAATAAACCAGCTAGTCTTCACCCTCCAAGATAAGTCAACACATGGGAGGCGACAGGGTATGGGCTTTGGCCCAAGCCCTGGCTGGAGCCGAGCTGTAGTGTCAGCAGGCGAGCAGCAGACAAGACCATCTCTGCAAGAGCAGCATAGTCTTGGCCTAGGGCAATGGGAGTGTGTTGCCAAAGCTGTGAGCAGAAACACAGGTGGTGACAGGAGTAGAGGCACCCCATGGGAAACATACCGACCTGTTGTGTGTGTCCCAGGACCAGCCCTGAGTTGGACCAGCACCAGGGCTCAGTGTGTCCCTGTGGGTCTGCGATCTATGAGGCAGCAGCTAGCGACATGACAGCAGGAGTGCTTTTGGCTGCTGCTGTGGAGCCTGGTGAGGTGACTTTTGAAGCTGGTGAGGGCCTCCAAGTGCACCACATCTGTGAACGGGAGATGCCTGAAGGTAAGGAGGTGATGGGTGCCATCTGCCCTTGGTACACTTCTGGCTGCTGCTGTCACCAGAGTTCTCTGGGAGGCATCTCCAACCTCAGGCTCCTTTCTGCCTGTAGCCAGCTTTCCCAGGGCTGGTCAGGAACAAAAGCTGGCTTTGCCTTGCATTCCCACCCCTTAGTCTTTCCCCACAGAATCCAGTCAGTTTCTTTTCTCCTTCCCTCCCAAACTCCCAGTTCTTTCTCCCTCATCTCATTCTCCCAGACTGGCATGGGGCCATTTATTTATGGCTGTTCTTGCCTGTAGCTCTATTTAGTACCTGTGGGACTTTGTTGAGGCTTCTTTGGAATATTCTCTTCCTTTTCTCAATAAAAACTCAAATATCCCAACTTTCCAGTACCCATCCCATTCTCTTTGTACCTATCCAAATGGTACCTAAGTGAAGGAACCAGGTAAGTGCCTAATTGTTTGCTTTGTTAAAGTAGCTAAATCTCAGGACAATTCATACTGAAATATTTGGGGATTTCTTATTTAAAATCAGAATGCAGGTTGCCATAGGAGAGACTGTATGGGTTGTTTTAAGTCACCTTGATAGAAGTTGCTTATTTTCTTCTAACTAATTTGAACATGGAAGGAAAGAAAATGGAGGGTGCTTAAAATAATTGGGAAAGGTGTGAAATGTCATGGCCAGGGCCACAGAAAAATGAGTGTGTGTATGGGGGGGGGGGTGGTTCCCCCAAAGGAGTTTACCTATGAGGCTCTGATTACTTTAAAATTCCTACTTTAACACAAAATGTGTCTGCAGATTTAATCTGGTGACTTAACAGACATTATTTACCTCCTTGTTCTAACAGAGAGGGGGGGATGGTTTGTGGTCAAAACTTTCAAAAGACATAAAATGTAAATGTAGAGTATGAATATGTAATATAAAGATTGAAGGTTAAAATGTCAGACCTTGCCTGTGTAAGAGTGTTTGTTGCCGTATCTCCCCTTTTGTCCTTCCCCCTCCTGACAATAGCATCTTGTTCAAAGATAAGAAAGTTGGAGTTTTTCAGTCTCTACACTGCTGGGAGAGGCAGAGGGATGGGAGAGGGTAGAAAAGAGAAAAGAGTTGGTTTGCCTCTAAAATTTTGCAAAGATATGAATCTAAGTAAAAATAATTCTGGGTAACAGTATGGTTCTTGAATAAAAACAAAATTCTTCAAAATAGAAAACATTGTATCATAAAGATATTAAATCCATTGGCTCTTTGATTTTCTTTAAATGCCAGAGATATTACTATAGAGGAAATGTCTTATAGCTCTTTTATTTAAACTTTCATTGGGCTCCTTGTAGCCAAGACAACCCTAAGCAAAAAGAACGAGAACACATGGACACAGGGAAAGAACATCACACACTGGGGCACATTGTAGGGTGCAGGGAAAAGGGAGTGAGAGCATTAGGACAAATATCTGATGCATGTGAGGCTTAAAAACTCAATGATGGCTTGATCGGTGCAGCAAACCACCATGGGACATGTATACTTATGTAACAAACCTGCACGTTCTGCACATGTATCCCAGAACTTAAAGTTAAAAAAAACACACACACACAAAACTTTGGTTGGGTTATTTTTTTCAGAGGTAGGATGATTAAGACTTATGATGAATGTGACTTTGTAACTTGGAGTACTATACTCACTTTTCAAGATATTTAATAATTATAGAATAAACAAATATGTGAATTAATTCATTATACTTTTATACACAAAACATGTAAGTATTTGTGTAAACATACTCCACTTGGTGGTGTAAAGAAAGCCTCTGACTGATTTTACACACCACTTAATAGATGAGTAGTGTTGCATGAGAGCCCAAAAAAGGCTCTTTATTGTCATTCTTTAGGATTACAGCACAGTTTATGTATGTCTCATTTGGTCCTTTGCAACACAAATAAAGTCTATATATATATTCTCCATATGTTTTGCTAATGAAGAAATGAAGACTTAGACATCTCACGTGACTATGGAAGAGAGCTACTCAACAGAACTAAGGTTCTAAGTCCTCACAATGACATGGAAGAGACAGATATGCTGAATTTACTTTTTAAAAAATTTAAAAGCTCCAGAATACATTTAAGTTATATTTTGCCTATAAAATAGACCTGTCTTTTAAAACATACTGCCATCTTGTTTTATTCTATGCAGTCGATTTTTACACAATGTAAAGGCAAATTTACGTGTTTTTTTTTACAGTAAATTTTGTTAATTTCTTTTTTTTATTATTATACTTTAAGTTCGAGGGTACATGTGCATAACGTGCAGGTATGTTACATATGTATACTTGTTCCATGTTGCTGTGCTGCACCCATCAACTCGTCAGCACCCATCAAATCGTCATTTACATCAGGTATAACTCCCAATGCATTCCCTCCCCCCTCCCCCCTCCCCATGATAGGCCCCGGTGTATGATGTTTCCCTTCCCGAGTCCAAGTGATCTCATTGTTCAGTTCCCAACTATGAGTGAGAACATGCGGTGTTTAGTTTTCTGTTCTTGTGATAGTTTGCTGAGAATGATGGTTTCCAGCTGCATCCATGTCCCTA